GCCGAGCGTAATTACTATTACGAGCGTTGCGAAACAGCCGACGGCGGCTGCTGGTAAGGCTGCGGTTTTTGGTCCGGGACAGTTTTGTCGCGCGCGTTTCGTGGTTTTTGCGGCCTGCCGCGTGCCGGCTCTCGTCGACAAGGGAACGAACGGGACCGCTAACGATGGTTAACGACCTCGAATGAAACGATGAACGGCGCGCCGATGCGCACAATGTGCGTGCGATACTCCGAGTTTCTCTCTCTCTCTCTCTCTCTCTCCTCTTCGTTTGCTTCCTTCGCGTCACGGTAAATTCATCCGTCAACAACGAGCAGTTTACGTCGACGCAATCGCATACGGTTCGCATTTGCATCCGTACCATCCACAGGCGCTCTCACGATCGGACGACGGGACGTTCTCTCGACGTAATCGAGAATGATGCACGATATCGCAACGCATACACACATCGGCCGTCGTTAAAACGGAATTAAAACCCCCGTTCGATAATCCGCCTTTTGTCAACCGTTTTATATAACCGTTCGAATCGAGTAGCAAAAAAAATTGTAATTTTTTTTTTTTTTTTTTCTGTTTTTTTCACTCACGAAGCTGTTAATAGTTACTCCAGAACGAATTTACGCGCGTTATTTATAGTCGACAGGAGGGAGTGCGCGCGCGACTGTGAAAATAACGCAAACAATAAATTTGCCGTTGAAATTGCAAGAAATACTTTGGCAAATAATTCAGACGCGAAAGGTAAACAACGTAAGAAACGTGCGATATTTTACGCGGCAATCTCAATTGTATTTATGTTGTTTTTCTCTCGCGTATATGATCCTGTGTAACAGCGCGATATATATCCCATATATCGGTATCGACCGATCGGTGAGGGAACTTTGCGTCACACCGGTTTCGTTCTTCGTCGTGTGCGTCACGGTGAAGATGGATTTTTCGCCGAGAGCTTGTTTCTCGCGGAAACGCGAGACGGCGGCGCGAGAGAACGTTCTTCAGAAGAAGTTGAAGAAGTCGAGGATGAACACAAGAGAACAGAGACTTTCGTAAAAGTGGAGAAATAAAATAAAGAAAAAAAAAAAGGAAATAGAGAGAGAGAGAGAGAGAGAGAGAAAGAAAGAAGCGCGAGGCACAGATAGCGCATCGGCAATGACAATAACAACAACACTAGCGTCTTGTTATTGCGAGAGGAACGTAAAAGCGAGAATATCAAGTCGGGAACGGAAAGAAGTCGCCGGATGGAGAAGTGAGAAAAAAAAAAGAAAAAATCGAGAAGCGAAGAAGAAGAATGGAGATATAAAGGAGAGGGCGTGGACAAAAGACATTGCAAACGCGCAAACGAGTTCAATTCTTTCCGTTACTATTTTACGTGACACACGTGCGTAACGACTCTCGGCTTGCGCACACACGAGAGATCGATATATCTCGAGGGTGAGATAGTATATTTTAGTTCTCTTTTGGAATTCTATTCTCATTGAGCGATAGAACACCGAAAAAATTATATTCTTGCAAGTAGAAGATTTTATACTTAAAAATTCTTCTTAAAGATTTTAGATGATATTCTTCTGAAATTAAGAATATATTCTTTATTTAAGAATATAGTCTTTTTCGATAGTGAGATATATATATGTTTTTCTATAGAGGCTTTTTATATTCTAATCAGTATATATTCTTATCAATATTACTATTTAGAGGATTTTTCTCTTAAAATAAGAAACTCTTCTTGGCGTCTATTTTAGTATAAAATATACTTAAAGTAAGTGGGATATCTCTCTTCAAAACAAGAATACAATTTTTTCGGTGTACGTGTATATATATACACCGAAAAAATTATATTCTTGTAAGTAGAAGATTTTATACTTAAAAAATCTTCTTAAAGATTTTATATAGATGATATTCTTCTGAAATTAAAAATATATTCTTTATTTAAGAATATAGTCTTTTTCGATAGTGAGATATATATACGTTTTTCCATAGAGGCTTTTTATATTCTAATCAGTATATATTCTTATCAATATTACTATTTAGAGAATTTTCCTCTTAAAATAAGAAACTCTTCGTGGCGCCTATTTTAGTATAAAATATACTTAAAGTAAGTGGGATATCCTCAAAACAAGAATACAATTTTTTTGGTGAACAAGTCGGTGCGAAGAGTCATTCTCTTCCGTTCGGTGTGAAGTTGTCGACTTTCAAAAAAAAAAAAAAAAGAAAAAATGGAAACTTCTATTCTTATCTGCAACTTGTAACCGCGATAATAAACTTGGGCGTTTCTGATAAACGTCATCTTCGTCGATTTCTTTCGACTCGAAGAACTCGTAAAGCCAAGAATTTCGGCCGGCTTATCGTTGCGGAAATTCTAATAGAATTCTTTACAATTTTCGAAGAAAAAAGATTCGGATAAGGATTACTGATAGAAAAACAATTTCGTTCTTTAAACACATTTCGAAATATAAATTATTTTCTCCGAAAAATTGTCAGCACAATTGTTTCTCTTACTGTGTTTCATTATAAAGTTGCATTATCGAAATTGACGAACGTCTATTAGTCACGAAATTCGACATAATCCACTTAAACGATAATTGGGAGGTTCAACAACGTTGTTTGTGAGATAACCGCGTGAGATAACCGCGAAGAAGAAGCGAACGGGATAAGGAACGGAGAGACGAAGAAATCGATCGGTAGATTTTGATCTCGCGAGTCGGGAAATGGCTAAAGTGGCTAATTGGAGTCCTGGTGTCGGTAGTAGCGGAGAATCGCTCGCGTTCTCTGCTAACGTAGTAAATTCCGAGGGAAAGAAAGAGAGAGAGAGAGAAAGAGCACGACTTTCTCTCGCTCTTCTCTTATCTCGTCCCAGCCGGATAGCGATATCCGTTCTGGTTCGACCAGCATTTCGATCGGGCTCATCCTCTCTTTCCCTTTCGCTCTTGCCAAACGATTCGGAACGTCGGTTCCCTCTTCCTCTCGTTTTTTCTCTCCCTAAGATCGACCGCTTTTTTTTTTCCTCGCTCGCTAAATTCAATTTTGTCCACCCGATCAATCGATAATGAAAGGTATGACGAGGCACACCCGATCGAGGCGGAATTACTTTCGGTTAATGTCTCCCATCGGAGCGATGCGCCAGCGCGCGGAGTTTCGTTACTTCAAACCGAATGGATCTCGTTCTATTCCCCCGACGACGTGACACACCGCGACGATAATGCCGAATTTTTGTCGAAGGCGTTTGCGTCGGAAAAAAAAAATTTATTATATAATTTTTCGATTTGGTTTTTTTCTCATACATACATAAAATCATTCGATTTCAAAAACAGAGCCTAAAGGCAGAAGTGCGTTTGATCATTTTTGATAAAAACGATACGAAGATCGGGTATTGGAAATATGGTTCGTTTCGTTCGACGGGAAATAAAATTGCAGTCTTTCTGTGAATTTTTTTTTTTTTTTTTTTTTTCGAACATATATCGCAAATGCTAAATTCGATTTAGATCGGACGAAACACCGTGTGCGTCGCAGCGAATTTCGTTTTTTCGCACCTCGATCAACTCTCTCTCTCGGATCGATCGTCCGCCACCGTGACATCGGATGATGGAACACACTCCGTTCGATAACAAACTGCGCACGGCATTTGGAAGCCAAAGTTACTATCGGTATAGTCCTGTGACCTTTCTCTTCTCGCGATACACACTTTTAGCAAAATTCAATCCTCGTTTTGATTTCTCCGGGAAAAATATTTACAATCCTAATTGCAACCGTACACTGTGAAATAAAAAATACGCGAAATGTCGCACTTTTATTGAGGTGTCTGCGGGGGTGCGTGTACATTTGCAATTGTTAAAAAGCACTGTTTTGCAACTAACGTACTAAAATAACGTTCTAACCAACGAAAAATAACGATGTTGCTATTTAATGTCGTTGCGTTGCATTTTATGTTCATTTAATTTTATTAATAAAACAACTTGGAAAATATTACGCAAATAATCATCGACATCAAAAATGATCTCTCTGATTTTGCTACGCGCGCGCGCGCCGCCGCCGATTTAACATATCGTGATAAAAATATAATTAAAAAACCAATGATTTATATATAATCAAACTCACTTCTGTGTGTAAAAAATCAACACACGAGTAAAATCTTCCTCTTACAATATCTTCGTTTTTGAAATAAAAATAAAAAATAAATTTTTCTCGCGCTCGAATTATTTTTATTAACGAAAACTCGAGTCGATTATATGTGGCAAGTGACACTCGATAGATAAACCTCGAGTGTCTAATGTCATGTCAGGCTACATCGGTCATTCAAGGATGCTGCGGAGACGTTCATTAGATTAATTAAACTCTCTCTCTCACTCTCTCTCTCTCGGCGGTGAGATGTCTCGTGTCAGGTCGGTTGATTCGCTCGGAGGTGCGACGATCGTTACATCGGGAACAGGCGTAGTGTCCTGTCGGTCGGACCGGCGTTATAACGAGGTTAATTAGTCCGGACGGACGGACGTAGAGAGAAGGTAAATCCCGCCCTCCAAAATCCTTCTATTAACGTCGTCAGCTGCGAGCGCCATTACTGTCGTATGGCTGTCGCATAACTCCGATCCCGTCGTCCTATCTCATGTCCTTCGCAGTTGCGGAGTCGTATTGCTAATTCGCCGATTAGTTTACTCCTTGTCAGAACGTCCGACCGATCCGCAGGCGACGTTTCCGTCGATTATAGTGGCGCCGGTCACTCGAACGAGATACATGTGTGTAACATCGTCCGGGTAGAGCTCGCAGTTGTTTAGTCGAAATTGAGAACACAAACGCGGTGGTGTGCGTTAGTAGAAATTTCGCTCTCTTCGACCTTTTCGACTTATTTTTCAAAAAAAAAAAAAGATCGAACACGAGCGCGACTCGCGTGAAGAATATAAACGAGAATATTAATAGAAAAAAACACGCGTGTGCGGTTGATAAAAATTAATGAAAAATAAACACGGTTGTTATGTACGAGGGTGGGTAAAAGTTAAATTCACATGTTGTGTGTTACACAGGAGCGAGTGCTAAGGCGTCGTCGATCATACGCGGTAAAGCGCAATTCCTAAGATTAATTGGCCCTGTGGAAGCTGCTGTACACATCCGACGAGGGAGAGTCCGAGAGAGGGTGAGTTTTACAATTAGTGGCTATGAAAAAACTTTACGCTCTCTATTCCCGGGCAACTCGGTGCGATAATTTTGGGTTGTCAAGCATGTTGTTGTGTGTGTGTGTGTACGCGCGCGCGCTCGGTATCAAGTATCGCGGTGTACGCGCCGTTTTAATTGCGCTCTTTTCGTTTGAAAATATTTCACGTGGAACGCGCGGCTCGGGAAAGAAACGCTGGTTTACCGGAAAAAATGACATCGCCAGAACCGTTACCGCCGTCCTCTTTTCCGCCGCGATGAAAAAGAGCGAGAATCGCTACACGCACATTCACACGGAGCGAATACGCCCTCGTTACACACAGCTTTTCTTTTTCTCGAACCCTTTCCTCTCTCTCTTCTTTGCCTCCGCTCCCTCCCTCCCTCCCTACACCGCGCTTTTTCTTTGTCGACAAAAAATTTCGAAACATTTCGCGTAAAAATAGAGTCAGCCGGTCACGGTTCAGAAAAATTTCCACGTCTTTTCCGCGCGAACAAAGCCGGGAAATTGTTACGCGTTCGTTGTTACTTGTTGTTCCGGTTTGAACAACTGGGAATTGTAAAATCAGTTACGTCTCCATCTCCGTCCCCCTCTCTTTGCCGCGTAACGAAAATTCCGTGAAAATTTTTTTGTGATCCGTCTGTCTGGATCGCGTTTTGCGAGATTATGCGGGAAAGAGAAACAACGCGGTGTGAGGTTTCGATGAACCTAAACCAACACTTCAACAAACGTATTACATAATATATATATGTTGAGACAATCTATTTATATGTAAATCTATCGGAATAGAAGCTGCTCGCTCGAATAATTCTGGATATATTGTTGCATATTGCAAGAGAGAAAGAGAGAGAGAGAGAGAGAGAGAGAGAGAGAGAGAGAGAGAGAGGAGTAATTGAAGATATAAAGAATTTTATCTACATTTTTTAAATAAATAGCATAAAAAAAAATACTTGTTATTTTTCTCGAGAATCTTTTGCACTTTATTTTTATTTATTTAAAACGGTATAATGACACACCGTGTGTGTGCAATGTACTTATACATATTTATAAATAAACCACAGAGCTCTCTTTCTCTCTCGAGGGCTATGTTTCGTTCATCCGAGTGTGGCAGCTTTCTTTCTCGGCGTAGTCTAGCGTTAATGTAAGTGTAATGACATTTTTATCGACTGCAAAGTGGATAAAGCACAGTTCCGCTTAGTTTAGCGAGCGAATTAAATGCGCCAAGCAAGAGTACTACAACCGTCGTCGCGGTCGGCTTGCCGATATTTCGACGTTACTATTCACGTTTAATTACCTACTCTCGCACGAATATAAATGTCCGCGCTCGAGATAATCCCATCAGCGTATGTGAAACGTCGCTGGCACGCCAGTTATACTGTTATTAAGCCTTATACGGAAATGACCGTGCGGGACAATTTCCACAATCCGCTCCAAGATAATATCTCCGCGCTGTTAAACCTGATTTACGCTCATTACAGAACTAACCGACACGTTTTCTTTAAATCGGATCCTAAACAAAAATAAAGTACAATACGGGGAAAAAAAAAATAGTTTTGCTGTTATATGACCGGCGATGAAAAAAATTGTCAAGTCTAACGAATTTTTGATTTCATCAACAAAAAACGTTTTTATTAGCGGAACAAAAAAATGTCAACGGGCTTGGCAAATTTATTTTTCTTTTGCTGACCATGTGGCAAATAATTTCTTGCTGTTTCAGCAAATCTTTTTTTTTTTTTAACAGATACACGAGAGAGAAATCAAAATCACATTATTTATGTATGCCGTGTATACATACACTGTTGAAATATAAATAAAATATTTGACATTGTGTAAATACGGAAAAAAAAACTTCGCAGATTTCGCGAATATTAAATTCTCTCTCTCTCTCTCTCTCGCAAAAGCAACAACTTTGTTGCAACGTTGAAGAGAAAATTCGCGATAACAAACAAAGTTTTTTTCTATCAATTAAAATCCAGCGAAAGAAAACGGTGAATGTGAAAATCGCTCGGATCACACATTTTGACTCTCTCGCTAAACGTTATTCAAAGATAATGAAGGCAATGAGCTTCTCTGAAAAAAGTAATGGGGATCAAAGAAAGGTTTTTTTTTTCCCAAATTGTTTGCGAGAATTTTAATGACGGGTAAGTTCAATCTGGAAAATTAAATATGAGCCGGATGATCCCGTATCTTCGGATCGATTCGCGTTCGAGAGGGAATTTTCGTTTTATCGAGAAGGTTTTAAGTGTCTTCATCAGTGTCCCCCAACATGCTCGAACACATTACACCCGATCGATGCGGAGACACTTTTGATCGTGTTACAAGGACATTGATCGTTAAAAGTACATTGACGTTAAATTGCTCATTATCGTGTGTATAGTCTCTTCCAAATTACATTCGATTCAATAAGTTGTTGCAAGAGTAAGCGGATAATGTAGAAACGAAGATACACGTGAGTTTCTCCGCGAGACGAACAACAATTTGTTTTCGTTAAAAGAGTTATACCGCGGACATATTTTTATTTATTTGATTATTAGTACTCTTCGAAATTTCTTTGATGCAGGGCCATAAATTACAAACGCGCGCGCGTTTCAACTTGGACCGAGACTTACACATATATTACACTTTTGCGGCGCGCATGCAACACACGATGTAAAATATTTTATAATTTGCGCAAGTAATCTCGCATCGCGCAAAAGTTTCATTTGCAAACTTTATTACAAATCGAAAAACTGCTAAACAAACTTTCACATCAGGATTATACTTCTATACACGTAGGTAATCCGTAATATTTATAATCACTGAAATATTTGTTTTTGAAATATCTCGTTTTCTCTCTCTCTCTCTTTCTTTTTTTTCGTATGTAGATATAACATTAAAACTTTAAAACAAAATAAAATCAATATACACGACGTTCTCTCTCTCTTTCTCTCTTTACGCGCGACAATTCCATAAATAGATATTTGAATAAAAAAAAGAGGCGAGTTTTTTTCGCAATTGGCCCTTTTGGAAGCAATTGAATTTTCTTATTGCCCGGTCGCATTGGCCTTTAGCGAATAGCGGCGCTATTTGGCCGCGCACAGAAGAGAAACGGCGAAGTCTCTTCCGGGGCGGGAGGATTCCGAGCAAGAGAGAGGGAGGAAAAAAGAACAGCGTCTTGAACGACGCGCCGAGCGAGAGGCGGCGGCGGCGGCGGCGGCGGCGGGTTTAAGCGAAATTGCTTTCGGCCCGGTCGCCTTCGAATGTCGCCGAGAGAGGTAGAGACGTTTTAGCCCGCGTAACGAGATTGCCGCGACGTGTACGGACGTACACGCGATACGTATAGTTATGTCTTCCTTTGAGCGAAACTTGTTGGGGGTGCGCGCGCGCGCGCGCGTGTATACGACGAACACGTATGTGTACACACACTATAGTAGGAGAGGGTGAGAGAGAGATCATCGGGTGTGTACACACACACACACACACGTGTGCGCCGAATAGCGCATACCGGACAAATAGACGCTTGCCGGGAACGTGAAGGAACGTACGCTCTGGCTCTACGCTGCTTTCGGTAATTACGCCCCGCGCGGAGATAAAGGAGCGCGATGGACCCAGGCGCTCTCTCTCTCTCTCTCTCTCTTGGTGAGCAAGAAATTACGTTAATTTCATAATACCTACCTTTGTATCTTCATACACCTCACGGGAAGGATTGTTTCTCATTTTAATTAAAGAAATTAAGCAAATATTTTGAGAATTTGAGAGAAAATACTTCAAGTCAGAGAAGAAAGCCGCTTATTGTGTTTGATTACAAACACGTGCATCGAACATCATCGTCTTATATATTTGTTTTAAATTATTGGAGCAAGCACGGTATTGTAAATTTAATTGAATATTGAGATTGCGCTAATTAAGAGAAGCATCCACTTGGAATCTCGTTCAAGCGTAAATTTTCTAAAAGCAATTTTGCTAATTATCTCGAGCAATAGCGAGATATCTGGGATGAATTAGTCTTTGGGTTTTTTTTTGTGTGTGCTTTTTTCTTAAACTTCTTCCTTTGAAACATATATATA